CCACCTAGCGATGCACCTAGATGAGCCGGCCTGACCAAAGTGCTCTGCTTTACTATTTTACATACTGGCATTTTTGCTGTGTTTTTTTCGGGTTTTTTGTGCCTTTTCTTTTCCCTTTTAACTTTTTCTTACATTTCATTTTCCCTTTATTCTTCTTTATTCTGAAATCACATATACTTTTACGGAATCATGAATATTTTACAGAATCTGAGAACATTTTTCACATTTGTGAACAATTTCCCAAATCCAAGAAAAAATTTCAAATTCAAAAATATATTTTGAACTCAGAAAATAATTTTTAAATTTTTCAAACATGTTCTGAAATTGGATAATAATTTATAAATCATTAATACTTTTCAAAATCAGAGAGAAATTTTAAATATGTGAACATTTATTGTATCTAAAGAACATTTTTATATTGGTGAATATTTTGACAAAAAATTAAAATTCGTAGAAATTTTTTGGTATCCAAGAACTATTTTCAAATTAATGAACATTTTGTTCGAAATATGTGACAATATTCAAATGCAAGAACTTTTTTATTGTAGGAACATTTATTAAAATTCATGAATATTTTTTGTAGTTCTTAAAAAAATATTAAATATGCGACCATATTTTGAAATCTAGGAACAGTTTTTAAATTAGTGGAATTATTTTGAAAAAACTTGGAATTTTCTTCAAAATCGCCAACATTTTTGGAAATTCTAGAAAAAAATAAATTTTTAAAATGCCAAAAAAATCAAACCCGTGAACCTTTTTTGGAATTCGAGGACACTTTCCAGATTCATAATATTCTTAAAGTTTTGGATCTCCTTTCAAAGTTCACAATTCATTTTGAAATTAACTATTTTGAAATGTCGAAAACAAATAAAGAAGAAAGTGCAATAATAGAACAAACAAAGACAAAAAAAATGAAATTATAAAACACTTCCTGCCTCGCATATGGGCCGACTCAAAAGCGCGCGGGGGAGCTGGGGTGTTGTTTCCTTGCTATTCAGAGCGTAGGTCATTGAATAGGAGCTCTCATCTGGCATCCCTCGGCCTTTTTTTAACTGATCTGTCGCCTCTTCTCATGACATAAGAGTTGTAACTCAAACGGGGAAAAGAAATGAACTGGGAACTCTCACTATTTTTGTTCCTTATGTCGTATCCATCTCACGCCAATTTTCCCTTAATGATATTAGGGCATCTATAGTTGGTCCCCTCAAACTTGGCTCCTCAAACGTCCGAGGATGGGTTCACGGTTAGTGCCCGCACATGTTGTTTTAAGTCCTCATTTGTGCATGCATATGATTGGTTGGTATGGAGATAGAGAGAGGAAAAGAAATAATAAAGTGTCACATCCCTAGCTTCTGGTGTTGTCTAGTGTTGCATCTTGCTTGCATCATGTTTAAAATTCTGAAATTTGAACTGAGGGAAATTGGAAGCCTCAAAACTTAAATAAAAGAGGGGCAAAGAACCCTGGAAAATGCATTCAATGTTCCAAAATGGCCTTAAATAATGTTGGTTATATTTTGGCAAGGGTTTTGCACCAAACCAAAAATAATGAACATTTTGAGGAATATTTTGAGCACTGAATTTAAATCATTATTGTATTTGAATTTGGAATTATATTCATAATATATGGGATATATTTTCAAATAACTCTGAAATGCTTTATGTGCTGTCGGAAAAGTCCATCTAGCAAATAAAAATATTCAGAGGAGTTTTTTGCATTGTTTGAATTTGTTTAAATTCAAAACAATGCCAAAACAAATTTAAAAAAAATAGAAAACAGAAATATAAAAAAAAGAGAGAGAGA